CTTTTAAACACAAGTGTGTCATGTTAGGCAGAAGCGTGCGTGGATTTTCTCACGCGTTAACGGTAATAAATTGAAAACTCTCTTATTTCCCCGTAGGTATTCTATCTGTCGTCCTCAAACAGAACAACAATTCCTGGTAACTTAACGACCGGAGACCGATATCTTTTTTTAAACCCTGATTATAAACTTGCCTCATCTATCCGTAATCGCAAAGTGTAAATCTCGGTATAATGTGAAAACATCCGTATTTTAACAGTAATTACTGATGATAATGAGATTGAGCAAATTCCAGGATCTGTGTTTAATGAAGATTAGGAGAAGGCCTTCGATTCTCTCGATTAAAATGTTATGCATCAAGCTTTGACGTTTTTTGTTTTTTTTGTTTTGTTTTTTTTGAATTCTGGTAATGAGCTCCTCGATTGCAGTAAACTGTTTTATTCTGGTCCTATAACACGTGTTGTTGATAAAGGATGGTCTTCGGAGTATTTTCTCATCAAACCAGGTGTGCGATTTTGCCATACTACCGTAGTTTATAATTTGTGCCGAACTTGTTAGCCAAAAAGGTGAAGTCGGATTCTGTTATAAAAGGAGTTAAATTATACAGGAACGAGTATAGGATCTCGCAACACGCGGATGACATGTGCATGTATTCGTAAACCTCTGACGAATCCCTTAATCACGTTTTGCCGACTTTGGAACAGTTTGAAATTATTTCCGGTATTAAGGTTAATTACGGCAAAATCTAAAATCTCTAAAATAGATTCAATGATTATAAATCATATAGATAAAATTCATTCGGTTGAAATCATGTGATGATCAGTGCTAGACCTCACAACTATGTTGTGTATTCTCTAACCAACTAAAATAGAGAATTGAACAATGCATTCATTGAAATTGACGCGTCCTGTATTTACACTATGGTTAACATGCGACTGTGTGAGAAAACATATGCATTACCGAACCTGGCGGCAAACACACTAATAAGTGATTTATCTATCTCAAATCGCCTTAAAGGTTACCCGATAATGAATAAAATCAGATATAAATTACAAAAATCATATATATCTTGTGTATAAGCAATATTAAAATAAAACCTACCGTTGTACACCCGGCGTTTAGGCAAATAAACCTTGTTACACGTCAGAAGGACTTAAATAACACCACTTTGAATACGCAGTCAGCTGACTACACGCCGAATCACGAATACTTGCCAGTTTATTGGTTTTATGTTTCTCGTCAAATATTGTAGATAATTCATATGTAGCTACAACGAGCATTCACGGGATGACCTCAATCAGAATTCTTACACGAACGCACTGTTGCCTCAATAATGTCTTTTGTAAAAGTTGAGGGACTGTCGATGAATGGCAACTTATATAAATATTCGGCGTGATCAATGAATATCTGCGTCAATGTACTTCCAAGAATAGTATTGTTTTAGCCCCTCGAATACTATTTTATTCCTCCTCCCCCCCCCCACATCGTCACAGACAGTGTTTTCACATTACAGCTCAAACAATACAATAGTGTATGGCGATTGTTGATCCGCTAGCTTACCATAATATCGTTGTTAGTGTGTGTATTTACTGTTTGCAAAATAAAGAAAAAATCTTCATATAAAAAAAATGTGAATCAGTTTATGCGGGCAAACTAAGACCATACAAAATATATCAAACTTAATTCGAATCAAAATGACCTACATTTACATAATGTGGATCTGTACAAATAAATGTAATTAAGACAAAGTTTTAAAAAACATATATCACAAATTGGAGAGCTCAAATCAATCGTAATTAAAGAAGAGAATATAAGTTTATAAAATATACTTTATACTTGGCTAATGACGGCAAAGTGAATATTTTATGGAGTCTGCCATTTTGGTTTTGACGTAATTGATGATGTATTAGAGATAAGTAATCACAATTTGGAATTATTTTGGTTCGTTATGCATGTAGTGGCGACAAGTTTTGAACTGCATCACAATTATCGATTCTTTCGGCTCAAACACTTCATTTAAAATAAGGATTTGATTCAGTCCCAAAATAAACTATCACTCAACACTTCCAAGTACGATTTCAAAGGGAAGGGGGGTAACACTTTTAAATAATGTTGACAGTAGAAAACGTTCCAACAAATGATGTGGCTAGAATATAGCCACGTGACGACCAAATGTCCGGTCGATTGACCGCATGAAAACGACATTGTTTTGTGTTTGTTAATTTTGATATCTAGTTACTGCCACAAAATGTAAAACGTACCAGAAAATAACGCAGACGTCCCTCAAAGATATTCTGTCACATATTTTATAGATAGAAAACTTAATTTCGTTGCAGACAATGACAAATTTCGGTGTTCTTTAGTGTATATTGCCTTCCCCGGTGTCATGTAAACAAGGCGAGGGAACACAACTGACTAAAAACATTGTTGATTTCATTTGATCAATTATTATTTTCGTTATTATATTCGTAATGTGCAAAATGGTCTCAAATTGAAAATTTGAATTTCGCCATCATTGCATGCATAACTTCGAGAATCATAGCTAAAGTAAATTGTGATTGGTTACTGCCAACTCATCAATTGAAATTACATCAAGCACCAAATTTTTAGATTCCAGAAGGAATTAGAAACTAACTTTGCCGCCATAGACCAAAATTTACACTTTTCCAATTTCGTAAAATACAACTTATAAAAAATGTCTAAATAATCCAATTTATAAAGAATAAAAGAGGCATCTTTTTTGTTAAAGACTGTAAATTTCTATTATTTCATTGCTCAAACTTGTGATATCCGGTAACGAAGTGTACGTTGACGCATGCGCAGTTACACCATCTGTAAACAAAACACAAACGTAGCTGTCCACCTTAGTACAAATCGACGCACCCTTCGACAATTTCAATTAATATACAATTTATTTATTTATTCTTTTCTTTCTTTGTATTTCATTATTAATTGAGGTACACTTTTATTTGTGTCGCGTATTCCAAATCCAGCATATACCTTGGAAATTGACTTCGACATTTTTATTTACATGTTTGCGCGACGATCAAGAACATCCTGGGTTAGTTCCAAAAAAACATAATTTCCAATATCTGCAAGTGTTAAAAACAGTATTTCGATCCAAATAAACAAGGTCACCTTAACAGTACTTAAAAGAATTCCAGCTCGTGGAGACAAGTAAACGACACACATCCGTATAATTTTATGTGAATATACTTTTATCTGTACACGAAACACCAAACGCGTGCGTGTAGCAGTTCACAGTGCCTACGTCATCTGGTTATAAAAATAGAACTAACAACCATACGAAAATATTAAGCACCGGATTTTACGGAAAAATCAAAGAAAGATAGTACAATTCAAGTTGAATAATGAAGTTCTGTGTGTGTTGCTGGCGTATATATCGTATGCGTGGTAGGGGTCATTGTGATAGATTCGTTATTGAACTGTTTTTTAAACAAATATTAAGAGTAGTTATAGTTATTGATTTGATAGAATCTGTGAGATTGTGATTAAGAATCTGATTTTGTAAGCATCACGCGAACACATTATGAATACGAAGTGACATTATCTTGTTCTACGTCGTGTCTATATCACATGTATAGAACAACTACCTCCGGGCAACACACCCGTAAGACAACTGCCTCCTGTGCAGTTTCCTCAGACAGCTGCCCCGGACAACTACTACCGGACAACTGCCGCCAGAGTTTCAATTCACGTTTTTTTAATATATACATCGGAAAAGATGGCAGTCACACGTTTTACAATAGGTCATTTCAAGTTATCCGCGCATTTTTTAATCAGAAATAAGACATATTTTAATTGTATCCATGTGTCGAATGTTTCTGTACTGTCAGCAGGCTACTCAAATGGTTAACGTCACAATGTCAGTGTTTTAATCTATTATTGAACGATTATTGGAAAAATACTGTCAGAGTGAATTAATGACGCGGAAATATTACAAAAAATGAAGAAGAATAAAATAGCCAATCCTCGGGGGCGGAGTACGTCACAGACGTTCCACATTGCTACGACGCGCACCACTGTACATGCATTTCTATGGGCTCTGTGCGCGCTGCTGTGGAACGCCGGTCGAGCCGGTGAAAATTCGAGAAAACAACACAAACTCAACTTTGAAGTAATCCTGAACAACCAAATTTATATATGTTACATACGTAGGGCTAATCTTATTACACTGTTCAGAGGAGTCTCAATAATCATCCCAAAGTACCGTTTTCTGCGAGTTTTGGGCCTTTGTTTTCACCGCCGCGGGTTGCCAGGCGGTGAAAATGCCCGGATGTCCGCCCCCGAGGATAGATTGTTAAACTGTTTAGTGAAAATTGATTGTTGACAGCTGACATTGAGGGCAGTCTCCGAAAACAACTGTCCTGTTACCGTGATAAATATCAACATAACATGTTATCGAATTATACTACTTACACGAATCGTATTACAAGAAGAAACTGTTCTGCTGACTTATATAAAATTTTAAAAAATGCATGTTTGTTGAATTTGTAAAAATTACATGATATAAATACATATCAGAATGAGCCCATACAACCCACGATATTTACATATCGAAAGTTTTTATCCCTATTACAATAGTTAGAAACATAACTAATTTTGATTGGTTGAATCTGTTCGGTATAGTTTAATTTATTCAGGGGTAATATATTCAGTGCAGTATTAATTTGTCATATTTATGTCTTTATTATCTGTACTCTAGTTAACTTGAACTAGATTAAAATTTTAGCAGTCACAACATTTTGACTTGCTTGAATTTTGCATTTTTTTTCTCGCTGTGAAAATTTTGTTCTTTTTTACTGTTATTTTGTTTTGTTAATTTGTAGTATGTATATATATATGTGTGTGGGAGTGTTAGAAATATGGATACTACTAGAAAATAAACTTAACTTCACCTCCTGTTTTGGAATATTATGTATATACGTTTAAAATCATGGGCGTTTTAAATGACAAATGAGAAAACCATTCTTACAATGCATCAGTTTATCAATGAGACATCTATTGAGTATTGTCTAACGAAAATAATATTACATGTGTACCTAAGTACAAAACTGCTTTCACCGAGTCGCATAAACGGTTTTTAGTACTCCATCAGTAGTTAGATTTGTGTTGATTCGAAAATCCTCTTGATGGACTCATTTTGAAAAGTAAAAAAAAAATGTTACAGTATTTTATTGTGAACCTGCTAGCATCCCGACTGGTAAGTTGCATCAAACGTAACAGCTTCATATTCAGCGCTGTTATATACGAGCAAATCGGGCGAGTCTTTAGTGTTAATGATATGGTCTGGCGTTGCCGAACAGATGATAGTGTTCTTGACTTCCTTCGGAGTCATGGTAGCATTAGCCTGTAATGTCAAAGCAGCAACTCCTAGAAGAGAAAATAACAGTTTAGTCAGTTAAGATGAGAGATAAATATTATTTCTTAATCGCGTGAAATATTGACATCAGGTCGTATACAGAGCTCAACTACATCAAGGAAAGTTTTATTTACCATTTTTGGTGCCGATGCTATGAAAAGGGAATTGTTAATGTAATCTTCGGCAACGATTTGCTCAATGACGCTTTCCCTACTTAGAAACCAAAGTGGACTGACGTTCGGCAGCATGAAAAGTACAGTTTTTTTAATAGACCATTCCAACGTAATTAGTTTATTCAGATACATACGTCATGTTAGTCGTACAATCTAGTGATTTAGCCAAAACGTCGTTAATTGTTACTATCTATGTAGATGTTTATTGTTATATGTTGTTTGTCTTGCCTCCGCTCTAGATTTTTTAACGGAGCCGCCAGACACGCAATCTGTCAAGTCAACGGAAATACGTGTGGACACATAACACGTACAAATATGGGCGTGCTGGTACGGCCTATATCAGCGGGGTGCGGTTTTATAGAATGGTGTACGTACGTTCTAGTTATTGCCAAATGGTGTCCTGTTTTGAATGTCTTTGGTGAGTTGGACGTGGAAATATTTATATTGTTATTTCAAATTATAATTATTTCAAGTATTTAATATTTTAAACAATAATCAGAGGTTAATCAGTAAATGCGCATAGCGTAGTAGTGTGTGCAGTTACGATAAACATTTTATGCCTAAATACCTGATTGAAAAAGAGTTTTTGCCTAATAATTGATGTCGTTGTGTCGGTGAGATAGATTTTGTTGAATATACCAAGGACT